AAGACTAAATACAAATAAACTAACCATAAAATGAATGTTAAATTGTACTCAAATATAATGTTGTGATTATGTGTTAAAAATATGTTTTTTGGAAATAATAAATATAAGTTTCACTCAACTTTTGGTTTACAAAATGTTGACAAAAACAACTCATTTTCCAAACGGATCGCAAAATATAGTCACAGATAAAAAGTCGAAACACTTATTTTAGAAGCAAAATAGTTTGAACATAAAAATAAAGTGATACTTTTTATTAATAGTTCTTATTATAGTTATAGACATATCTAATAATAACTTTTAGATGAGATATAAAATTAACACAATATAAAAATATAAAAAATTAATTTATATTAACAATGCTTATAATAATAATAACAATAAAAAACTTCATTTGAAATATATAGAGATATAAAGTAAAATTACAATACTATTAGTGTTGTAAGAATTAAATTCATTGAGTATATTGAAGGGAAAGGGAGGGAAATGCGAGTGGAGAGAGTGTCTCTCACCTACACATTACCAATAATTACAATTTGCTTCAGAATTAGTTTCAATTAACGAATACGTAAGAGAAGAGTGTAAACCATTTCCCATAAATGTTCACTTAAAACACAACCAAACAAATCAAACCAAACAAACCATTCGACGAAAACCCACCGAAATTTCATTGACAAAATTGCAGAGGCGTTGAGAAACACATTCCCTATTAGTTTTGGCTTCAGAGCACATGCCCTACATCTCCACTCTTGAAATTCTTTATATACATTCAACTTTCACTTCAAATTTACATTTATTCAAATCAAATCAATTTAGTTGTGTTTTAGAAAACAATATTTCCAATCAATGAATTCATAGTTTCATGATTTCATTTAAAAGTCAATTGAATCATTAATTAATAAACTGTTGATTAGATGAACGGATTTCTGTTGAAAATAAATTCATTCTTCAAAATCATTCAATGAATTAAATATTATTTTTAAATAATTGTTAGATATATATAAAAAATAAAATGACAAAAAGATATGATTGAAAAGTTTAATTTTAATCAGAAAATCCCGTTTAATAATAAAATAACCAAATAATTCAATAAATCGAAAGTAAAGATTGTGTCAAATAATTTCCATATATTTATATAAAAAATCTAATGAATATAACGTTAATATATATAATAAAATAAAACTCAATTCAACTAAATTGGAATCAGAATATAATTATGAATCGAAATATTATAAAAGCAATAATTATAATATAATAATAACTATTATTATATTATTTAATATCAATAATAACGACAATATTATATGATTGATAACAGTTTTTGACTCATTTGAGTTGTTTTATAACCGAAATACCAAAAAACAAACAGTTCTAGTGATCAGAATTTTCAAATTCATGATTTGTTTAAAAAAGTATTGCAAAATGTCATCCCTTCTTGTATTTTGGGGCTTAAGTTCACTTAATATTTCTCTTTACAAACGTATATGAAATACAGAATAAAATTTACAAATTTCAAGAACAAAAAGCATTCATTTTGTTCCTAATGGAAGACACAAATGTATATAATATTTTCCATACAATTCATTAATTTATATATAGTTTTGTTTTGTTTAGTGTAAAGACGTTTAAATAAAAACATAACATTTTTCAGTTCAGCCCTTCTTTTGTTTTATATGAGAATAACTTTAGTTATAATAATAAATGTATCGATAAATTGCATATAAATATAAACTTTACATAATTTTCATTAAAATAAATCATTTGTATATTTTAAAACTTTTTAGGATCAAAAAGAACCGATAATACAAAGCAACGACTATCTCATGATTACAGCAATTTTATCCTCATTTTTGTTTTAGATTTGTCTCATAATGTTTGTTACAAAACCAAACCATTGGATCAAATATTATTTATATAAACTACCCGTTCGTTGATATATATTATATATATACGAATTGAGTCCATAAAAGACTAGTTGTGTATACAATAAAATTTCAATTCATATCATTAATTCATTTCATTAAAAACGATAGAAACCCTGATTTAGAGTACAATATATTCTCAACAATTGAATGATAGCTATACCGACACCTCAACTAATAGTAGAAATGAGAGATGATTTGTGAGCCCATAGTCTAACTTATAGATAAAGATTCATAGAAAGTGGTACAGAGGGTAAGGGGGAGGGGAGAGAGGAGAGGGAGGGAGAAAGAGTACTAAAAATGACGTGAAATGACATCAATGGCACGTATAGGCACTGCAAAAGTTAGTCATCAAATTATAGCCATCACATCTGTCCTCACTCTCAATGACTCGCATCACTAATCAATCTATATGTATATATATTAGCAATTATTGTCGTTTAGTGTCGGCTCGACTTCGGTCCCCACGGAGTGCTGTGCGACCCATCGTCGGCGGGGGCGGCAAAAGGTGTCGGCGCCGGCCCTACCATATCGTTGACGAATGATGGAAACTCTTGGGCATCGGTGGTGTCGGGAACTGCTTGTTGTCCGCGTTGTTCCCACGGACCACCCTTTACCACAAATCCACTGCCTTCACGGGACGGACGCTCCGAATGGTGTTGACGGCTGGGAGGCGTATATTCGGTCACGTCATCCAACTAAACAATAAAAGGTTAATAAATGCAACCATTGAATCGTCAGATCACAACACTTACGTATTCTTCGGCCAAATTCAAGAGATGATCTTTGCATTCGTCCACATTCTCAGGCAAACCACTGATTACAACGAGATTAGGATTTTGTCCCTCACTTCGCGGGAATCTGATGTCGACGTTGTACTGATCCATAACTTTACGAATATTCTTGCCTTTGCCTCCAATAAGGCGGGGATGAACTCGACTATCAATGTTGATCTCTTCGTGGACGAGATCTTCGAGTCCACTAACGATTTCGAGGATTTCCTCTTTGGCTGAATTGACATCACTTTCGAGTCCAATAATAGTGATGACGTCCTGTTTGTCTTCATCCAACTGACTGTCACGACCTCGTAGTTCTGGGAACTGTATCTGAACTTTATATTTATTCCTAATTTTGGTGATAATAGCCCCGCGTTTGCCAATGATTTTCGGGTGATATATAGGATTGACTCGAATACTAGCGGTGAAACTCTTGGCCTCTTTCTCTTGTTTGTCGGATTCGATTTTGAGGACTCGTTCTTCGATGGCTTTCTTAGCTTTGACGACATTCTCTTTAGAACCGGTGACACTGATTAGATCACTGGAAGCGTTGGGCGGCGGCACTGAAATGGACACGTCGTGGTTTTGCATCAATTCGCGCACTTCGCGGCCCTTCTGTCCAATAATAAATCGGTGCAAATCGAAAGGCACCTCAACTTCAATAGTAATAGGAATTAAAGCTAACAAAGCGTTTTGAGCGGATTCACACTTCTCGGCCCTTCCCGTTATTATTATTATGTCTGACTTCTTCTGACTCTTCTCCAGACTATCAGTGCTACCATTGATGTCGCCATTGGCTACGTCTTCATCGCCGGTCACACCATTAGTACCTCTTTCGGGGAATTTGATCCTCACGTCGTGCTCTTGAGTGATGGCCTGTACTCTTGTGCCACGAGTGCCCATAAGTGTTCGATGATATTTCGCTGGGATTACACATTCAATAGTGATCTGTGAATCCAAGTCTTCAATTATTTCAGTGATTCTTTGCTTCGCGCTCTCAATGCACTCTTTAGCGCCTTTGAGAACAACTCTATCGCTATCTCTTTGAGCACTTCGCGGGAAACTAATGGTTACGCCACCGAATTCGTCGCCAATCTGTTTGAGAATAGCTCCGCGACGGGCGACAAAAT